TTATTTTGACATTTGTGGGTGGAGTCTGAGCATCAGTTGTTCTTTTAAAAATTTCCCCAGTTATTCCAATGTGTAGCCATAGTTCCCATTAGATTTTTCTGACTTTTTCTGGCACTTACATCTTTCTTTTCTGGTATTATGATTATTTTTCAGGTCTTATCTCATGTCTTGGGCTTTATATTCCTTGGGGTAGGGACATTGCATTTTTAATTTCCATATCTTTTGTGAACACATGAATTGGTCATCAGGAAGAGATTTTCAGCCACACATAGGTTGTGTCCTGGGTCTCAGGTTCACATGTTAATGTTACAGTCTTTGTACTCCACAAGGTCAGAGGTTTCTTGTGATGAAGGTTGTCGGTAACTCCACAGTACAGATGGTAGATGGAGATTACCCTGTTTGGTATGCATTTAGGTGTAGAATTGGAACTAAGAATTCTATGTGTGTGGGGTGGAGGGGCAGGGATATATAGGGAGACAGATCTAATAAGGATTGCAGAATTATACAAGGAAGTATTGATAAAGGAAGGAAGACACTTCTCTTTAGAAGAAGTTTGAACTTATCTAATAGGCCAGAGTAAGCCACTGTAGATTTTTGAATAGGAGAGTGGACTCGTTTTTAGGAAGGTAATAAGGCAGTCATATGCAAGAAAGATTTCAGAGAGACTGGAGACAGGAAGTCAACCAAGACTTTGAGTGTTGTTGAGGGCCTGGGTCAGTTAGGTTTATGGGAATGGTGAGAACAGCATAATTGAGAGTTGTTAAAAAAAGAACAAGAGGCTTTTACAATGTATTGAATCTGGAAACAAATGAGCAGGGGCTGTGGATACTTAGGGGGTGTCACTGGGAGAAATGAGTGAGCTGTGTGGAAGAGCTTGTTTAAATGGATGACTTCAGACAGCATTTGGATGTGGGTGTCATGAGTTCTACGCGTAGCTGGGGCTAGAGATATAAATTAAGAGCCATCTCCAGAGACATCACTAAGCTGATGAAAGAGGGTGGATGGAGGGAGACAAGAAGGGTGTGAGGACTACATCTGGTTTGGGGGTACAGTATATAAGCGGGAGATGAAGGGAGGAGAGCTCTCCAGAAGGGAAAATTTGTCTGTGATCTTAGATACTGTAAAAGGAAAAAGTATGAGTATTATAAAAATGCCTTTGTATTTCACCAAGACATGGATACTGATTTTGTGCTGTTTCCGGTGATCTTGGGTATGGAGGCAGTGCAGAGGGCCAGGAAAAATTAGGTGATGACGAAAGGGAAAGACAGCACATACATTTCAATTGCTTGGAAGTGAAAGAAATGAGGTTATAGCTTAATATTTAGCAGAATTAATAAATGAAGGCTATTTAGGTTAGAAGAGATCTGACCCTCCAAGAGGGCAGAAAAAAGGAACTGGGAACCAGGAAGAGGCAGAAGGTCTAGAGAGATTTCTGTGTGAATAAACCTTGGAGACTCTTGCATAGCTACATCTGATTCACTGGAACCGCCCTAATGGGAAGTGTTACTGGCCCCTAATGAAGAGGCTGGGAGGCCTTTTACTCATGAGATCATCTTCTCTCCCAGAGGAAGGTAGGCACTTCCTTCCAGGCAAATTGGAGCTGTGGTCTGTTGCTACCAGATATACTCACTTTGTTGGCAGGTATGCAAATGAATTTAGCGAATTCTCTGGTCAAATAGAACAAATATCTGTAGACTTAGAAATAGTTTTACTCTGACTCCCCATTGAACAATTTTGTTTTTTTCTGCCTATAGAGAAACATTGTTTAAGGTAGTATCAACCATGAGGCAGCATGTTGATGTCTGATATATTATTTTTATTATAAACATAGAACAATTTTTATATATAATTCAGACATAGTCTTAGCCAGGCAAAATTAAATAACAGCATAGCATGGATAAGGGAAAGTATGCACAGTCCGTGTCAGGGTTAGAAAACCCTGAAAGAGGTACCTGAGTATAGAGAACTCTGAGCCAATCCTCTTTGAAAAAGTCTCTTAGGCCTAACATGAGATCAGGTAGGCAATATAGAATAAAACCTTTCTCTTAGCCCCAAAGACATTCCATCTGTGTAGAAGACTGGGTAAGAAGTACATTTGCCTGTCTTCCTCCTATCCTTCCTTTTTATTATAAGATACATTTATAGACTTCATAGGAGAAAATAAATTTCAAAGGCTGTTAAAAAAAAGGCTAGCCTCAAGTTATAAACCTCCTCCTCACAGCCCCGTTCCCCCAAGGGGCATCAGCAGCAGTGCAGCTTTCTAGTTGTAAACAATGCCACCAGCATGAGTGATAGTGTCCCTGTAGGGTGCTCCCACTTCTCAAGGACCAAATACACCTTAGCAGAGTCCAAGGTTTCCTGAGAAAGTGAGTGGAGGCAGACAGAAGATGCACAGGTGCAAACATGGAATAGAATGGGAGTTGATGATTGGTCTGAGGTGCCTAGAAACTGAGTTAAATCTAGTTCTAGTTATGAATGAGGAAAACCTCTTCTTATTTTCTATTTGGAGCTTCTGACAAAAAACCTTGAGAAGCTCCTGACCAAGGGACCTGAGGGATTTTGGTAGCTTCTTTCACCTAAGGCAATCAGATTGGCCTACATAGCTAAGCTAAGTAAAAATAATCCTTTTCACATAAATAAACACTTATAAAATTAAAATAGTGGAATGTCTCAGAGAAAAGGAGAAAAACCCCAATACCCCAAATTGTGTATTCTTTAACAGTAATTTAAAGAATCTCTGAAGGGCAGGTCTCTGATTCCTTTCCCAAGTTCCTAGCAGATTGTGTTTATCAGAAGCTGGTTCCCTCCTAGAGCTATAACTCCTCCCTCTCTCAGCACTTCCTTGAATAAAGCCCATAAAGATAATAAAACATATCTGTGCTTTTGCATTTTCCATCAGGAATTGCCTTGGAGTTTGGCAAGTGGTTTTCCTAGTTGCTTCTAGTGGATTCCCAGAAGACAGGCTTGCCAGAAGGATTAGGTGGCATTCTAGCTAAGCAGCAAGGTGCTTAGACCCTGATCCTGCAGGTAGAAACCCTGACAGTGGACAAAGGTGTGGAATTTCACTGTTGTTACATATTTGGTTTTCTTATGTTTGGTGAGTTCACACAGGGCTTTGGAGAAATAGGAGAAGCCATTACTGCTTTTACTTTCTCTCTCTTGTTTTCTGGCACATGTACTTCATGGAAAAGGATGTAACCTCAAAGCTATGGCAAACCTGAATTACAGTGATAGGACAGGACTGGGGTGGGAAGGAATGAGTGCTCTGAATAGGTAAGTTTAAAACAAGTCCAGGTTTGGAAAAGGGGAAGGCAGGGGAAGTTCTGGCCACTCTTTACCAAAGTCAGCTTTGCCAAATTTCAATGACAAGAAGGTTGGGTTTCCTACAGACTCCCAATGTACCTTTTCATCTATCGACACTGAGGGAGGGGCTGTGACCAGGCAGCCTAGAGTGCCTATTAGGAAGGAAGAGTTGGGGAAACTTCTTTCTGTCCCCAACCTCCCCACCACTCCCAGAGGGGAAGGGAATCTTCTAGAGCTGAGGGTAAGAGACTTGGAATACATCAGCATGCAGTGAGCTGGACAGGTTGCATTACTTCTTTTTTACTTCTGAATAAATTGTGTCTGTGATTGTTGGGGATGAGGAGGCTGACGTTGGTTGTCTGGGTTGCTGGGCTGTGAAGTTCAGGGAAGAGTAAGTAACTTCATTCATCTGAAAAGCACAAGTAATGATCAGTTAAGTCAGTGTCACAGGGCAGGACCTCACCTTGCCTGGTGTGATTCAGCATCACAAGCTGTTACCGTTTTGAAATTTTAGCTCTGGAGAAGGGCTTTTGTTGTTATTCGTTCTCTGCCTGCTGACCTCCTGATGAATGATCATTAGAAGAGATAAATGATAGTATATATGCAATGGAATATGATAATGCAGCAATGAGAACAAGCAGACCACAAATACATACAACAATATGGATGAATCTCACAAAACAGTGTTGATGGAAAGAAGCTACATATAAGGATGTTGTATTTTTCCTTTATGTAGGAACAAAACCAAGCAAAACTAATCTGGAGCATTAGAAGTCAGTATAGTGGTTACTCTTTGGAGGGAAGTGACTGGAAGAGTTTCTTTTTTTCTTTTCTTTTCTTTTTTTTTTTTGAGACGGAGTGTCTTTCTGTCACCCAGGCTGGAGTGCAATGTCAGGATCTCGGCTCATTGCAGCCCACATCTCCCAGGTTCAAGCGATTCTCCTGTCTCAGCCTTTCAAGTAACTGGGATTACAGGTGTCCATCACCACGCCTGGCTAATTTTTTTATATTTTTAGTAGAGACGAAGTTTCCCGTGTTGGCCAGGCTTGTTTCGAACTCCTGACCTCAAGTGATCTGACCACCTTGGCCTCCCAAAGTGTTAGCCACTGCGCCTGGCTGGAAGGGTTTCTTTTTAAGGGGAGGTCATGTAGTATTTCATGATTTGGGTGCTGCTTACCTCAGTGTGTTCAACTCGTGAAAGTTTCTACATTGTAAAAGTATAATTATGATTTAGCACTTTTCAGTATATGTGTTTGCTCTACTGTAAAGGTAAAATGGAAAATTCTATAAAATTATTATAAAATAAACAGGATCTCAGATCTATTAAAATGGAAATTATCCTTTTGACAGTAAGAGCAGGATCAGACTGCAGGTAGGAGAGTGAGAATGATTAAGTGCCTTCCTTTTTTAGGCCAATGTGCTGGGTGCTCTATGTAGGTTATCTCGTTTAATACCTTCGACTTCTCTTTGAAGTAGGCAGAATGCCCATTTTACAGATGACAAAGCTGAGGATCAAAGAGATTAGGTTACTTGACCAGGGTCACAGAGCTGCTAAGAGTTACATCCAGTATTCGGACAAAGGATGGAGATAATTCCAAAATGCACATTCTTGCTGCGAATGGGAGTGATTGCAAATACGTCTTTGTTGCTGCACTGAGGAACATTAACCCAAACTTGATGTTACATTGTGTTTTCAGGAATAACCAATTTTATACAGAGTCATTTCCATGAGAAAATAACCCCAGGAAAACTGGCTGTGCTTACCTTGTTAGGAAAGTTGTCAGAGTGGTCCTGAGCTGGAGAAGCAAAAGAAGAATTATCAATCCAAGGAAATGCAAAGCTGACCTAAGGTGATTCTAGCTGAAGGAGGTGGCAGTTGGAGGGTAGGGAGGTAGCCCATGATCAGTTAAGGAATTTACTTCCCTCAGAGTGTCTGGTCCAGACCCAGCACGTTAGTACCAGAGGAGGGGGCAGGGGCAGAGCCACAGGAGGCCACAATCCACTTCTGAAGAGTTCTACCAGTTTACAAGGCCTTGATTTTTGCCCAGACGTGTTTCTCAGCAACATGCTCCAATGGCAAGGAGGGGCATTGAGGCTTGCAGCACCCACAGCACCCACAAGACAAGGAAAGTCTCACCAAGGGAGAATGCCCACATCCGTAATAGAGGCAGGAGGCGGAAGGAGTAAGGCTGAGGAAATGGCTCCTGGAAACATGGGTTCTTCCTCAGGCCTGCCTGGCCTAGGCAGAGTGAGCTTCTCTCCTCAGATGTGTCTCAGGGGACTCTTGTGGCTAGAAAGGGTGTGAAGACCTATGCCACCTTAGGGGTGGGAAATAGACATCCTTTCGTGAAAATTCAGAAGGGAGGGAGTGGTTTGGGAATCCAGGATTCCCTGCCGGGGAGGGCATGTGGTGGAACATACCAGTTCTCATTGGATAAGTGGCTTTACTTACTGTGGTTGGAGTCTGAGAGTTTGTGCTCTGTGAGATCACGCTGGTCGCTTGCCCTAAATAAATATCAGACACTGTGACTGCCATTCCCAAGCATAGGATCTTTGTTCCCTGAGTTAGGAAGGGCACTGTGAGCAGGTCATTCCTTGGGGTCCTTGATGTTGATACTGCCTTTCTTCTGAGCGCCTCGTTCTTCAGTCTAACTGCAATCCCTTCTAGTGTCTCCTCTTTTCCTGTTTGCTAGATGTTCACATTTCATTCCATTCTTTATCAGCTGCTTCTCTGTCTACTTGTATCCTTAAGACCTTTCCCATTTTGTTTTCTGGGGTACTTATTTTTCCTATTTATTGTTCAAGAGGACTGTGGTTGTTTTTGCTCTCTCTCAGGTTCTCTTCCTATCCTATCTCTCCCTCCTCTTGCTACTGTGCACGTGACTTGCTTTCTCCTGCTGCTTCTTTTATGTTTTCATTTGTATTCCTTCTTAGACCTTGGTTTCCGTGACTGGGGGACAGAGGAACATAATTGAGTCTCTTCCTCTAGATTAGATGGGGATTGGAATAACCATGTTCAAGAGACAATGGGAGACAGGGAGCTTGAAGACCAGGGAAGAGGAGACCTGCAGGAATTAGTGCCGAGAAGCAGGAGTTTAGTGGGAGGAGGAGATCCAGGCCCAGAGACAGGCAAAGAAGTTCTTTTCCTCTCCCAAGCATGGCAGTCAGCCTTGGAGGAAACAGAACAAGAGGAAAGGCCATCATACCTGCCGGTCTTCCTGGAATGCAGAAAATACACCACCAGGGCTGCTATCAGAGCCATCCCGGCCAGTACTCCAATCACAATGCCAGCAATGGCCCCCCGTGAGAGGCCAGAACTTTCCATGTCTGTCATGGAAAGAAAAGAGGAGAAGAAATGAAGGTGAAATTATTTTACATTGGGGGCTGGAAACAATTCTCAGAATGAAGTCTAATACAGTTCCTTCAAGGAATACAGTTTTGTTGTAGGAGGGTTGCTGGAAGATGATTAGCTAAGTATATCCTTGCAATTTTTTTGTTTTTCTGTCAACCATGTTTCTAGGTTGATGATCAGTCTTCTGTCAATTCCATTCTGGCCTTTCTGCGCTCAGACATTTTTGAAGATTTTGAAATGTGAGAAAGGCTGATTGCTATTTTGTATGTGATTAGAACTTTCCACCTTTTTTTTTGTGATTGCATCTTTTTCTCAGTGTCTCAGTTGTGGCAGTCAGTGCATTCTGAATTCAGCACCTCTTTTGCATAGGCACCTTGCTTCCCACAGGCTCCCAGCAAGGGTTTGAAAGCAAGCCCAGTTCTGTGTGACTGTTTTACTCTGAAGTGTGAATGGCTGGAGGACTCCCTGTCAACCTTGCAGAAACTCTTAGAACTGCACTGCAATCTAAAACTTCCTTTGTCTCTTTCTCTTCCACAGGAATCAGATCTGCATCATGATCTGAGGGCTCTCTCAGGTTCCTCTCACTCTCACCTCACTTCCCTAATAGGCATTTCCCCCAATAAATTATCTCATATGTTTAATCCTATCTTTGCTGTATCTCAGTGGATGGAAATAACGTACCAGGCTTGAGACTTTGCTTTAACTCCCCTTTTCTCCTCTTTCCCATATTTAATCATAATAATGTACTGGTGGGTTTCTTGTACAATGTGTCTCCCCCATATGTATATATTATTATTTATGTATTTATTATATATTATTTATGTATAATAAATATACGAATAATATAATAAAAAATAAATACATAAAAATATAAAAATTTATATAATAAATATATAGATAATATATTTTGCATCTATTTCTCCTTCTTTTTTTTTTGAGGCAGGTTCTCACTTTGTCACCAAGGCTGGAGTCCAGTGGCACACTCATGGCTCATTGTAGTCTCTTGGGATCAGTGATCCTCCTACCTCAGTCTCCTCAGGAGCTGGGACTACAGGCACATGCCACCACACCTGGCTAATTTTTTTTTTTGAGATAGAGTTTCACTCTTGTTGCCCAGGCTGGAGTGCAATGGCACGATCTCGGCTCACCACAACCTCTGCCTCCCAAGTTTAAGTGATTCTTCTGCCCCAGCCTCCCAAGTAGCTTGGATTACAGGCCTGCGCCACCACGTGTGGCTAATTTTGTACTTTTAGTAGAGATGGGGTTTCCACATGTTGGTCAGGCTTTTCTCGAACTCCTGACCTCAGGTGATCCGTCTGCCTTGGCCTCCCAAAGTGCTGGGATTATAGGCATGAGCCATGGCGCCCAGCCACCTGGTTAATTTTCAAAAATAATTTTTGTAGAGATAGGGTTCCACTATATTTCCCAGGCTGGTCTTGGACTCCTGCACTCAAGAGATCCTCCAGCCTCAGCCTCCCAAGTGTTGGGATAACAGGTGTGAGCCACTGTGTCCAGCCTATTTCTTCTTTATATCTATTGTAACCATTTGGGGCTTAGCCCTTACCAGTCAACTCAGGCTGGTGATTAATGCTATGTTAGCTATTTTTGTGGGGTATTTCCTGTGTGCCAGGCCCTGTACTGCTAAATGTTTTACATGTATCTCATTTGATCCATAAAATAGTGCTGTCAGGTAGACATTATTTCCATTTTAAGCATGAAAAAATGGAAGCTTAGAGTGGTAAAAACCTTACCTAAAGTCAGATGGCTAATGAGAGGTGGATCTGAGATTTGACTCTGGGACTACCTGATCTGAAGGCTAACGATAATAGTAGTGGTAATAGCAGCTAACATTTATGAAACATTCCCTCTGTGTGTGGTTGTGTGGTATTTTGCTGAAGGTTTATTATTACAATTAAATTTTTAAAACAATACTATGGGGCCAGGTGTGGTGGCTCACACCTGTAATCCCAGCACTTTGGGAGACTGAGATGAGAAGATTGCTTGATCCTAGGAGTTGGAGTCTAGCCTGGATAATATGGTGAGATTCTATCTCTCCGAAAGCAAAAATAAAAATAAATTAGCCAGGTGTGGTAGCATGTATTACTTAGGTGGCTAAGGTGGGGGAATTGCTTGAGCCTAGGAGATTGAGGCTGCAGTGAGCTGTGTTTGCACCACTGCACTCCAGTTTGGGTGACAGAGTGAGACCCTGTCTCAAAAACAAAGCAAAAACCCAAAATCCCCCAATACTATGAAGCAGGCATTCCTAGTGCAATTTTTGGTTGAGGAATCCGAGGCTCAGAGTAGTTAAGAATCTTGTGCAAGAAAGAAATTTATAACTGTAGGCCATGTACAGTGGCACATGATTGTAATCCCAGCAATTTGGAAGGCCAAGGCAGATGCATCACTTGAGCTCAGGAATTTCAGACCAGCTGGGCAAGATGATGAAACCCTGTCTCTACAAAAAATTTACAAAAATTAGCTGGGGGTGGTGGCATGTGTCTGTGGTTTCAGCTACCCAGGAGGCTGAGGCAGGAGGATAGCTTGAACCTGGCAGGTTAAGGCTGTGGTGAGCCATGATCAGCCCTGGTGACAGAGTAAGAGCCTGTCTCAAACAAAAAAAAAGTTGTTCTTTAAAAAAGACCACTATAATTGGCAACCTTTAACTAGACTGACTAAGAAAGAAAGAAGATTCAAATTACTAAAATCAGAAATGAAAGTGAAAATATTACTACTAATTCTATAGAAATAATAAGGATTATAAGAGTACTATGAGTAATTGTATGCCAACAAATTGGATAACCTGGATGAAATGAACAAATTCCTAGAAACACAAAACCTGCTATGATAGAATCATGAATAAATAGAAAATCTGAATAGACCTATAACCGGTAATGAAAATGAATTGGTAAAAGCATTTGACAAAATTCAACATTCTTGGGCCGGGTGTGGTGGCTCATGCCTGTAATCCCAGCACTTTGGGAGGCCGAGGTGGGCGGGTCATAAGGTCCGGAGATCGAGACGATGCTGGCTAACATGGAGAAACCCCGTCTCTACTAAAAATACAAAAAATTAGCTGGCATGGTGGCGTGTGCCTGTAATCCCAGCTACTCAGGAGGCTGAGGCAGGAGAATTGCTTGAACCCGGGAGGCAGAGGTTGCAGTGAGCCAAGATTGTGCCACTGTACTGCAGCCTGGGTGACAGAGTAAGACTCTGTCTAAAAAAAAAAAAAAAAAAAAAATTCAACATTCTTTCATGCTAAAAAAACACTGTAACTAGGAACAGAAGGAAATTCTCAACATAATAAATGCTACATATGAAAGGCCCCCAGCTACCATCACACTCAATGGTGAAAGACTGAAAACTTTTCCTTTAAGATCAAGAACAGGACGAGGATGCCTGCTTTTGCCACTTCTATTCAACATAGTATTAGAATTCCTAGCCAGAACAATTAGGCAAGAAAAGAAACCCATCTAGATTGGAAAGAAGTAAAATTATATCTGTTTGTAGAATACGCTAACTCATATGTAGAAAACCCTAAAGATTCCACAAAAGCTGTTAGACAATAAATTCAGCAAAGTGGCAGGATATAAAATCAACATGCAAAAATCAGTTGTATTTTTTTATACTAACAATGAACAATTCAGAGGAAAATTAAGAAAAAAATGCCAAAAAATTAAATAAGACATAAATAAATGGAAAAGACACTCCATTTTCATAGATTAGAAGACTTAATATTTTTGTTGGTGGGAATGTGAAATGGTATAGCCACTGTGGAAAGTGGTATGATGGTTCTTCAAAATTAAACAGGATTGCCATTTGATCCAGCAAGTCCAGTTCCGAATATCTATTCAAAAGAATTGAAAGCAGGGGTTTTACTAGATGTTTGTATACTTATTTGTAATAGCATTATTCATAATAGCCAAAAGGTGGAAGCAATCTAACTGTCCATAGATGGATGAATGGATAAGCAAAATATGATATATCTATCTACACAGTGTAATATTATTCAGTCTCCAAAAGGAATGAAATTCTGATGCATTCTATATCATGGATGGATCTTGAAGACTTTATGCTAAATGAAGTAAGCCAGACACAAAGGGACAAAGACTACATGCTTCCATCTGTATGAGAGGTACTTAGAATAGTTAAATACAGGCTGGGCACAGTGGCTCATTTCTGTAATCCTAGCACTTTGGAAGACCGAGGCTGAGAGCAGGAAATTGAGACCAGTCTGGGCAACACAGCGAAACCTCATCTCTACGAAACAATTGAAAAAAATTAGCCAGGCATGGTGGTGTACGCCTGTAGTCCCAACTACTCTGGAGGCGGAGGTGGCAGGATTGCTTGAGCCCAGGGGATCAAGGCTGGAGTGAGCTTTGATCATGCCATAGCACTCCAGCCTGGGTGACAGAGTGAGACCCTGTCTCAAAAAAACAAAACAAAAAAACCCAACCAACCAAAAAAATAAAAACATAAAAAAATAAAAAAACAACTAAGTGTATTTGATTCAGAGCCTGAGCTCTTAACCACTTTGCAATTCTGTTTACTATAATGGTCTCTTAATTGATATTCTGCCCGCTGTGAGTTTTATCTTTTTTTTTTTTTCGAGACAGTTTCGCTCTTTCGCCCAGGCTGGAGTGCAGTGGCGGGATCTTGGCTCATGGCAACCTCGGTCTCCTGGGTTCAAGCAATTCTCCTGTCTCAGCCTCCCAAGTAGCTGGGATAATAGGCACTCACTACTGTGCCTGGCTAATTTTTGTATTTTTAGTAGAGATGGGTTTTCCCCATGTTGGCCAGGCTGGTCTCTAACTCCTGACCTCGTGATTAGCCCACCTTGGCCTCCCAAAGTGCTGGGATTACTGGCATGAGCCACGTGCCCGGCCAAGTTTTATATATTTTGCCCACCATTGGCAGAGTAATCCTCCAGGGACATATAGGAAGGGGCGAGGAGTCACTTACATTTCACGGTCAGCATTATGGGGTCACTTTGGTTGACACTGATTGGGTTGGAGACCTCACAATAATACTGCCCAGCATCCTGCCTCTTGACAGGATCTATTCTGAGGGTTCTGTTGTCCTGGAATAGCTTTATCCTCTCTGAGGATAAGATACTCTGGTTATTAAAGAACCACTTGATGGAGATTTCAGTGTCATTTGTGAAGCAGGTCAGGCTCACAGAGTCCTTGTCTTCTGTGACTGTAGTGCTGGTGGCTTGAACTTCAGGCCGTGCCACTTGATTTAGTTCTGTGGACAAATAGAGGAGAGAATCTACTGAGAATGGGCATGGGGCTTGGGGCCTGGGGGCTACGCTCCTTTCCCTGAGATCTTAGCCAGCTCTCAGGTCACACAGTGAGCCGTGCAAAGGTGACCAACCAGGGGATGGCCCTGACCCTCTGCAGAAGGTCAAGTATCTTTGTTCAGGTGATGATCTGTAAGGAGAGGGCTGCACCTCCCTTCTGACCCCAGATCATCTCAGAGTGACCCCTTGCATATCTCTGTATCCCCACTTGGAATCCTCTTCTCAGCCCACGGGTCCAGCAGCCTCATCATCAGGTAGAACGTTTTTCCCAGTGACTTTTGTGTGACCCTTTCCTAGAGCTTTCTGTGATCAGGCATTCTTCCTATGACTGTAACCCTTACATAC